ATAAAAAAGATTGAAATTTGAAGCCCAATTCTTTGCTTACTGATTGGTGGCTTATCTGGGTTCTCTTTTGATTTTAATTATCCATTTCTTTTGATTTGTGGTGGGAATTGGATTGTTGTTGCTCAAAACTTGAAATGGGGATAACATCACAGGTTGGGGTGACACCAGAGGGTGTGGAAGTGCCAAGAAGCCTTGTTGATGAAGAAATGCAGGAGAAATTGAAAGAAATGCCCAAAGAGTTCCAGCCATCCATTCCCAAGGGGGCAGATCGCAAATGGCGATACATGTGGAGAGTGGGTCCTCGACCATCAGAAACCCGCTTTCAGGTCTCATTCTTTGTTTCCCTTTAGATATTCACTTGCACTCATATGTATTGACTGTTTTAATTAAATGCTATATTCTACTTGCCATGATGATGATGATTATGTTATTCTTGTTTTCTAGGAACTTAATGCAGAGCCGGTCGTACCCGAGGGGTTTCCTGAATGGAAAGATACCATGGATTCATGGGGTTACAAGATGATATCCGCAATAGAGGTGAGCCATTAATTTGATTTTTCAGCTTGCTCATACCACTTGCTTGTTTTGCATATTATCTAATATTCTTCATGTAATTTATGCCTCTCTTTCTTTTCAGGCTGTTGCTGAAATGGCTGCCATTGGGTTTGGCTTGCCAAAGGATGCATTCACTTCTCTTATGAAGCAGGTGACCAATGATTGCCAATTGAAACTTACATTCATGTCTCTATGACTGTTTTGCCACTAGTGGTGGGCAGCGGTATTGAAATCAAATAATGGAATCATGATTACTGGTTGCCTACTCTGACAGTAGTTGCCTATATCCATCAGTTTCCATTCCATCTTCTATATCCATCACTTTTCTTATCTTTAGCCACTGTGACCACCTGTGTCCCCAAATTTGTGTGGCATTCTGTTGAATGCCTTTTGTATTGCTCCATAATGCCACTATTATTTTATCTTATTACACTTCTCAGTTTTGTCCTTTTTTCTTACAAAGATGAATTTGGGGTGGGCATATTCTTCAACCACTTTATAGTCTTATTAAATACGTTGGCTTGTGATCGGATATAGAGCATGTATTTTGTCTACATGCTGCATTTTCGACAATCACCAACTTCTGAATTGAGTATCTAGAATCTCTTCCTTTCCATTTGCCAATTTCCTGGCTAAGTTCATGCGATATGTGCTAAGTACCCTTTCTTTGTGAACCCAGGGACCACACCTTCTAGCCCCAACAGGAAGTGACCTTCGGCATTATGGCCAGGCGGGTACTGTGTTTGCAGGATATCACTACGACCTGAACTTTCTAACCATTCATGGCAGAAGTAGATTTCCAGGTCTGAATATCTGGCTAAGAAATGGGCAAAAAGTTGAAGTGAAGGTTCCTGTAGGATGTCTTCTCATTCAGACTGGGAAGCAGGTAAGAGCATTTTTGACCATTGTGCTTAGTAGTTATGCAATAGTTTACAAAGTTTGTTGACCCCCTGAATATGGTGGCTTTCATGGGAAAGCAATTTGGATTTCAATTGCATCAATTAAATAACACGTTATACATATCGGGTTTATGCACATCTTTTGGTAAAAATAAAAAATAAAACACATGCGAAACATTTGATTAGTTGTGCTTAGTGTTCCCCCCCCCCCCCCCCAAAAAAAAAATACAG